AGTTTGTGTAAGCCTAACACTGAGTTATCAGTAATGCCATTGCGTTTTGATGTCATCCATAACCATGGCGGCACGCGCAAAATAATGCACGCCAACCAGAAGGCTGTTGTACCCCCCAAAAGGGTTAGCGAACAAGGTGAGGGAGCCGGGGTATCTCATCGAACTACAGTAGGTAAATCTCTACTTCGTACACAGGAACGTTTCGGAGAAACGGGGCGCGAAGTCACGAATGGAGTACGTCGCAGGTATTTTGTATTTTTTCATTTCTGTCCGTGCATGCGCACTACAGCAGTACACTCAACATCAAAACACACTTAACTGCTGCTGTTGCGTATGCATAGCAGATGTTTCTTGCCTCCTTTCTTGAGGCTAGCATCATTCGACTCTACTTCGTTCAATGCCGATGATGTCAACACTCACGCCCTCTTTGCCGATGTCCCTGAAACATTGCCCTTTGTATCTCCCCGCGCTGAAGCTCCAGCTCGGTGAACACAAAGAAACCTCCAAGGCACGTACTTTTGTTATGTCCCTAACCACCAAGTCACTACCCACTGCTGTTTTCTACGTGTTGATCTAGACTGTGTCATGTTCTGTGAGAGTTTTGTAAACGCAGGTGTCGTAACTCTGTGTGTAACGTGACCAACAAAGACACTATTAAAAGTACAAGTACGTACTATAATACATGCACGCCAAGTTCTTTTCCGATATTTATGCGGTTGTTCAAGTTGGTTCTGTAGGCCAGCTGTTTTGTTGGCCGGTCGGCGGTAATCGGAAGTTATCCATATTATTGCAGCTCTATTATTGAGTGCAAAGATATTGCTGCCATGGCGGGTATTTCTTTTCGATCTTTTAAGAACTGGTTCAAGTTGAAACAATACAGGCCCACGGGTGGATGCACACATGCGTTCTTCGGGGTATCCACGCCGGTGGAAGAGACAAAATCAACCCGCAGACCCGCAGCACTGGCGAAGCGGGCGAAGCAAAGGGTCACGTACATACGCAATACGCTAATGAGCATGTACCCTGCTATCTATCTACGCTATCCCACACATCGTTCGTCTGCACTCTGCTCTCATTACCGGATAGATCGCGGTGCTACTGAACGTACATACTGGGTAAGTCGGAATCGCAAATACAGGGAATTTTCCCCACGTCAGAGAGATATTCGACACAGAATCTCGCTCCCTAACTAAATCCCATTCGTTTCCGGAAAACAATCTGTCCATTTTTTGTGACGACCTTGGATTCCCGACTTTCCGTTATACAATAAAAAAGAATAAGTGAGCATATGTGATAGATGTCCCTCCGCACGCCAGCTTGCTGCAGCAGGGACAATAACCCATGGCCCCCCGTCCCCCACTGCATTCACATTCTCCTCAACCCCTCCAACTTGAACACTGGTGAGGGCGGATTGCAAGTCCTGTCCGCGGCGCAGCAAGAGTAGCAGTGGCACGTACTTGTGACGTAGTGTCCTTCAGGTTGTGCCCTGCGACGGTGAACGGGCAAGCGTGCGTGCGGTACGCCATCAGTACGCTTCTTGTTTTTTGGCGGGTGACCACCCCGAGATATCGTGCTGCTTTTTTTTTTTTGTGCGACCCGGGGCCCCTCGCAAAGTTGTATTTTTTGTTGCGCAGTCAACAGCAGCAGCAGCAGCAGCAGTCGGTCTTCCCCCCCCCATTCGTGTCACTTCGCAACAGCTCAAGCCATTTTGCCGCTCACCCCCCTGCAGCGCCACCGACTGTCCTAGGGCTGCCGCCTCGACTCCCTCTCTTGCATTGCGACGCAAGGAATCCGCCAGTCTACCTACCCGCAACAAAAGTCATGGCGAATGTTGAGGATGGGAGGAATGCCGCCGCTGCTGACACGGGCGACCAGATCTGGGGCGGACGACAGAACTCGGGCAAGCTGACGAGGAAGCGCGTGATGGCGGGAGGCGCCCTCTTGGGCACCGCGGCGCTGGCGGTCGGGCTGTACGTGGGTCTCAAGGACGATTCCACCACCGACCGAACGCTCATCACGGGCCAGGCCGACCCCAACTCCCTGGGGTGCTTCGCGGACACCAGCGACGGAAGAGTAATGGAGGCACAGCTCACGGACCAAGCGATGACCCCCGATGTGCGTATGCGTGATCGCCTTCGTTGCATCTCTGCGTGGAAAGATTGAGTAATTTTACAGCAGTAGAGAAAGAGAGAGAGAGAGAGAGAGAGAGAGGGGAATGGAGAGGAGAGTGTCGTGCGCAAGAGACAACAGGGAGTCAAACAAGCAGCCGGCACTGCAACAAGCTGACACCTTCTTGAGAAACTAAGCTGCTTTCGTGCGTTGAGAGAAGAAAAATGAGAATATCCAAGAGTCAGCAAGCCGGTGCCGTGCTCTGCTTTCTGCTACAGGAGTACATGTACATAAACAAGGACGAGCCGACATGCTCATGCTTTTGGGGGATCGCAATGGGGGTGGTTGCAATTCAGGGACAGGGGAGGGTGTCCCGCTCCCGTGTTCAGCATGGTGCTACCCATTTCGACGGGCAAACAAACAAGCTTTGTCTTGTCTCTCTCTCTCTCTTCGGTTCTGTTGTCGGAAATGTGATGCAAACCCCCTTGCTTCTCTTTGTATCCAGGGCCAAGCTGTGTGCCACTTAGCACATCAGACCTACGTTGGTCGAGAAAGCTAATGCTCGGGAGTACGTCTGCTGCGCCGCCCGTCAGCGCAACGCACCCGTAAACCAAAAATGCTGAAGCTTGCATGCAGATCCCCGACCCTCTCGTAGGCCTGTATGTGCTGCCGCGCGGCCGCGAGAGTTAAATTTTCTTTCGGGATGCAGCCCGCGCTCCATCAACTCAGGGGGTAAAGATTCTTATGTTTTGTCCCCAAATCCACTGGCCACGTTTCCTCAATATTTCCTGCTGTAACCACGCTCTTCATTCAATACTCGCGCCTTCCCCCCCGCCGTATGCCATGCCCGCTTACAGATGTGCAACACGTACTGCGAAGAGCTGGGATACTACTACTACGCCGTTCAGTGGGGCGTTGAGTGCTGGTAAGATTCATCAACTCACCGCCCAAACTCTTGCGACATGTGGGAAACATTGCACCTACATATCTTTTTTGCTGTTCCGAGTTGGTCGAAACATAAAGCCATGTGCGGGCGCCGCCAATCAATACCTTGCCGTCGCTGTATTCAGCTGTACTGCACGTATGTTGGCGAGTGTCATTTGATTGTCCTGATTGCACATGACGGAGGTCCGCGATTGGAGAGCTTTTGTGTCGGGGCATTTTTGCGCGCCAAAATTGTTGCGCCAGCCACTCGAAATCTATCTCTCTCTTGTGTTGTCAACGGCTAAATAGTATCGAGCGTGAACGGCTACAGATCAACCAACCAACCACCCATGTAAACATGTGCCCCCCACCCACCCTGCGCCGAAGAATGATGATACCGAAGGTGCTCATCTCACTGGTTTTGTGACAGATGGTGTTTGACATCATGAGCGTGTTGGTCATGTACGTCCTCTCGCTTTGTATGGATTCAGGTGTGCTCCTGAGACCACCACCGCTGACGAGCTCGCGGTCCACGGCCTCGGGACTTGCGACTACGCTTGCGGGGGTGACAGTGACCAGATCTGCGGAGGGTTCTGGGCCTTCACTGTCTACGAAGTCGGTGAGGGTTGAAAATCTGCGACCCTGACCTGGTGCACACTTGCAAAGCCTCGACAGTAGTGTCGTCGTGCCTGGGCTGACCTCTCAAAACAAGATCTCTCGGCCCAGTGGGCTCATCTGCTATGCCGTTGGATCGAAATTCACCGCTTTTCCTCGCGACGAGTATTTTCTTCACTGTTCTATTTCTGCGTGAAGCCCGATGATGTACGTATGCATGTGGTATGCATGTGTTTGTATTCATGTTTCCTGTTGTGCCCACGTATGGACTGCCATGATACAGACTTCAGTCGCTTCCACTAATCACATAACCCTCGCACGCCAGTGAAACATGCACGTACATGCAGACGTGAATGCGTCCACGGGGCGTTGTCTTGCCAGCGGGGTGTTGTCGGTGTAGAAGTCTCGTTACTTACTTTTATTTTTCAATCTCGGTACTCTCGTTTTGCAGAAGGCGCGCGGGGTGGAGGGGAACACGCCCAAAACCTAGCCGCCCCTTTCAAATCGCGCTTTTTTGCACGACCGCGGCATGAAGCACCTTCCAACCGTCATCAGCCGAGCCACCCTCGACACCACCCCATCCTTGTCCCGCGGTTGCTTGTCTTCGGTCTCGACCTTTTTTGCGTTGTTGACGACAGGAACGGAGTCCACGACCCTTACCCCGTCGACGACCACGTCTTGCGACTCTGCCGCATTGGTCCGCTTCACCGACGAAATCGCTTGTGAGAAGAGTGTTTTTTCCTTGAATATACAGAGTTCGTTGTTCTGATTTTCGCAAGGGCCTTTTCGTTTGCTCGATCGACGGATCGGAGTGGAAGATTCTCTTCGTTACAGAGGTCAAGAGATTCGCGACAAGATGGCTGTTTGTATACCATGCCAGACGCTGTCGTATCTCGAGCCGTACGTACGGCAGTGGGGCCCGTAGTGTTTGTACCTGACAATGTTTCCCACATGTGTAAGAGTTTGGGCAGTGGGTTGATCAATACCGGTCGAATGTGCCCCCACGCGACAGGGTACTGTACATGAATATACTGCACATGAATATCGGACAAATGTGCCCCGCGCGGCAGGAGGTGGCTGGGCGGGGTGTATGGCGTGAATGACGTCCAATGCACGGAATTAATTTTGCTTCCGGATGTACACCGCGGTACATGTATGCTGAGTGCTGTTGTACCCGAGACGTGGTATCCACCACGCGGTCTATTCAAGGGAAAGCAAGATACATCCATTCCCTTCATCACCTTCATGCCAAAATATTGAAACTTACCTTCACGCCCAAATAATCGCTCAACCGTTGCAGACTTCGAGGGCGGCGGGTGCGGCACCCTTACCCAAATGTACGAATCACAGGAGGGTGACGGCCCACTGTACGTCCTCGACGAGAACAACGACGTGGTGGGCGGAACCCCCACAGGGTACTGGCTGCTCGACCGTAACCTTCGGGTGGTGGAAGGATCGACGCTCCTTGTACACGGCACTGCCGCGGGCGGCGATGCGGACGTCCTTCGGCTCAAGTCGACCTCCGAATCTTGGATCGAGGTCCGCGGGTACGGAGGCAACCTGCACTTCGAGTCGACAACGGTAACGTCGTGGGACACGGACAACGGCCAGGAGAGGGAGTGGGACGGCGACGGACGGTCCTTCATCAACTGCGTGACCCAGTTCGACGACAGCGCCATCTGGGACTGTGAAGGGAGGTCCAACCAGGAGTGGGGAGAGTGCAGGATGGTGAGAGGTGGAGTGCGTGAATATCGTGTGGTGGTGGGGTTACCTCATCGGATATGGAGTGTAGCCGACGTGTCGGGGATGGCTCGCATTCACCCATCTAGCGTAGCGATTTTCGTGTTGCCGTTTCATGTCGAGTATTCAAGAGGATTTACTGCATGTAATGGAACGCCAGTATGCATTGGAACCCTGTGCCTCGGAAGCAACGCTCGTGATGTAGGAGAGTTCAATGCAAGCGTTTTCACGTCTATCTAATAAAGACAACCCACTTGACAATTACAGGACATCATCGACTCCACGATGGGTAACTTGGGATATTTCGATGCCGAGTCGTACGGCCTCACGTGGAAGGTTCGCGGCGCCTGTGATATCGACCCCGACACCGGGGTGCCCTACAACCACGAGATCTTCGAGGACCACAACGTTTACGGCGACATCCTCAACTCGGAGATCTACGGCATGTATTACGGACACTACTCGTACGGCCACCAGGGAGGCGTCTGGGACGGCAACATCATGAGGGACAACATCCAGTACGGATTCGACCCCCACGACGACTCGGACGACCTGACCATCTCCAACAACGTCGTCTACGGCAACGGCAACCACGGTGTGCGCCTCATTTTTCTATGTTTCTTGCCCCCGTTGGGTAAATATTCAGCAGTAATAGCGCTGCATGTCGGTGTGCGATCCAGCCAACGCAAAAAGAAATGCGTACTAAATTCGGGAGTTCTGATACGTGTCTAGTGTGACGTTTATTTCTACCGATAACGGATAACTGGTGCAAGACTCCTCTAATACCAATCGCAATCGTGACCTTCCGTCGTTGCTTTACATTGGTGGATCAGGTATCATCGCCTCCAAGCGCTGCAACAACGTCAAGATCTTCGGCAACGAGGTCTACGATGGTGGAGAAGACGCTGTTGGTATCTTCCTTCACCGCAGCTCCGACGGCGCCGAAGTTTACGGTGAGCAGTTTCAAATTGCGTTTCTCCGGATTTTTTCATTTTTTACTGAAATTCTTTTCATGTTTTCTTCGTGCATCAGCATCTCGCGAGCAACGCCTGTGATTATCTCATTACGGTAACATCTTGGCAATGCTGTGACATCCGATGAATCGCTGTGAAGATTGCTTTACTGCTCCTCGCCAAGTCATTTCACGATGCTCAAATTTCTAATACTCCTGTGCGATCTGTTTTTCTCTTTTCCAGACAACGTTGTCTACAACATGCAGGACGCGGGGATGGCGATCATGGAGTCCTACGACGCCAACATCTACGATAACTCGTTCACCGACTGTCGGTACGGCATCCGGCTGTCTCTCGGCAGCGGGCGTAACACCATCTCGGACAACTTGTTTTCCGGCATCACGCAATGTGAGAACTGGAGAACCTGGTTGGGCCAGTCGGAAGTAAAGGCGAATGACGTGTGACAGCCCGTGGAAGTTGTCGCTTGTATCCTTCGCCGCCGAAATCAAACACGACGCACGCGAGGCATTGCTTTTTGTCGGCTGTATCGAAATACGTGTTCGGACCACATGTTGACGGGTTGTTCCTCCTTCGTCGCCTTATTCTTGCCCTTTGCCTGCAGACGGCCTCTACACGTACATGGGCAGCGACGAACCGGATGTTCCCAACAGCAACGGTCGCCCTTCCAACAACATCTTCGACGGGAACACGATCGAGACGGACGGCGATAACATCGGTGTCCACATCAAGGAGGGCGACTCGAACGTTTTCACGGGTGAGTGTTATCATGACACGCGTTGCTTACGTGCTATGGTTTGGGGGGCTGTAACGAAGCACGTCGTAGACCAATCAAGCGTGACAGGGGATGTGTTGGCCAGACTAAACCGATGCCATCTCGGTCACGATCGATATCGCACGGCCTAACATGAGGTTTTTCGCATCATTTCCCTAACGTTTCCGTCTGGCTTTTGGTTTGTCCTCCTTTCCTCGCAGACAACGTGTTCACGGGCGTCAGCACCTACGAGTTCGAAGACTCTTCGGACACCACCTGGGTTGACAACACGGGCGGCGGGTGCCTCGACGGTAGCACCGACTTCGCTGAGGGGGGTATTGCCGAGTGTTGAGTAAACAACGCACAAGAGGGATACTTGTGGATCTAGAGGATATGGTGCCCGGGGTTTTGCGCTTCGAAGGCAACCCCACGTTTTGCCGCGCCCGCCTACTTCGTAGTTGTGTTCCAGCGTCTCGTCGATTGTGGCTGCTTGGTATATTTCCCATTGGATTGTCAAGGAACGTCCGGGAAAAACAAACGAGCACCCGACTGTGGCGCGTGGCCGTGAGGGACTTTTAGGTAATTGTGTCGTGTTGATGTGCGCGCCGAGTGTTTGCACTCGGCTTGTGGAGTGTCTATTCGAGACGCGGGTTTGAGTGGCAAGCGGCTTTGGGGTGGGAAGCGTGTTACACGGAGGTTCTTGTTCGTAAACCCGGCATTCGTCGGTCTTTCGTGTACAGCATTCGATCGGGCTAAGAAAACAATTAAGACGTTTGGTAGGGAGACGATCTTGTACCGCCCTTCTAGATCGCGAAAGATGAACATATGGTTATTCCGTGCATGCTGGTGTATTGTTCTTGATTCGTCGGGTGTCTCGGTTGGTTGGTTGTTACAGTGCATTTTTCCCTATTATAATGTACCTCTTGCCTATTTTTCGGTCTTGTCTTGGTGTTTTTGTTATATTTTGGATGGTACGCTCCGCAGAAGAGGTCAACCACGAGCTTCGCCCGCCTCTTTTTTTGTGTTCGGAGGGCTGACTCAACTCTACCCCCAAAAGTAAAATAAAGATTGGTTCGTGTGCTTTGGTAGGCTCGACTTGGTTGGAACTTTTTTCTGGCCTCGGCTCTGCAGTAGAAGCGTCCTCCCCCCCCTGCATATCCCCCCCTCCATCTTATTGGTTGTATGCCGTACATGTGCATTTGCCGTGGCGTACAGGTAGTACGAGTTCGTAAACATAGTGGCGTCTGCACGTGTGCCCTTGGCCGGTGATTTGTGTCTGTCGTCTTCCGAGTTTCTTGAGCCGCGCTCCGTACAAGAGGTCACCACGAGGTTCGCCCGCCTCTCTTTGTTTTGTTTTAGGAGGGATGAGTCGACTCTACCCCCAAAAAGTAAAATGAAGATTGGTTCGTGTGCTTTGGTAGGCTTGACTTGGTTGGAACTTCTGGCCTCGGCTCTGCAGTAGAAGCGTCCTCCCCCCCTTGCCACCTTATTGGTTGTATGCCGTACATGCGCATTTGCCGCCGCATACCGGTAGTACGAGTTCGTAAAAATAGTGGCTGTCTGCACGTGTGCCCTTTGCCGGCGATTTGTGTCTGTCCTCTTACGAGTTTCTTGAGCCGAAGAGGAGAAAACTGTCGCGCAAGGATGTTGATGATCTTCGCCCGCTGCGATTGATCTCATCTAGGGTGCTTGGTTGTCTGGTCGCTGGACAGACGCCGCTGGGTTCGACTGGTTGTTGTAAAAGTAGCAGCAGGTAGTTGAGGGCCTTCTGCCGGTGGAAACCCTTTGTTTGCGCGATACACGCCATTCCGTGGGGATGGGAATGGGAATGCTGTGTGTCCTTTTCTTTCAGGGGCGTAATAATGCACAAAAGGTTCCTGAAGTTGTTTTTTGTAGGGGCTCGTACCGGATGCGCTGTTGGGTTGTGCGGGGCGACTGTTCGATGTTGGGTCGGTCAGGAGGTTAATGTGTCCGCCACAGGATGTCTACGGTACCACATACAAGGCGCATGTGTTTTACTTGCTCTCCCTTTTTTTTCCTTCGCGTGTTTTGAATATTTTCACGGCGGTTACGGGACTTTCGCTTTTCAGATGGGAAATGTAAAATTGTAAAGCTTACGGTTGGTTGCACGCGCGCCCACGCGAGCAAGGGGCTGAAAGTTGTTCACCGGAATATCCTGATCAAGAATGTATTGACATCATGTTGTGTGCATCTCACAATCGCATTTGCTGGTCGTGCCATGCACATGAGAACATCTGCCACGCATCAGCCGTCAACTCGGGCAATTTTCACACCGTTCTCCGCACGGAAGTGAAGGCAGCATCGCTGTTGGCGCCCTTCCTAGGGGTTCATCCGTGAAGACGGCAGCAAGCAGTAGTAGTACCGGCGTGTGCGGCAGTGAACGGGGGGGCTGTATTCCCTCGAATATTCCCACGAGGCGTGTGATTGAAGCTGTTTTCCATTGCGTCATAATATCAATCCCGTTATTTTTGCGTCCGACATCCCCAGGTCTTCGCGAATATAGTGCACATAACCAGGTTGTATGATGATGCATACCTCGTATTTATACATTTACGAAGCTGTTGGGTCGCCAGTTCCTTGGCGCCGAATGGAATCACCAGTTTTTTTCGAACTATAGCTTCCGTCCCGAGAAAAAATATGGTTTGACCTCAAATGTAAAACGAGATCATTATATCCTCTATTAAATTAGTAAACCATCTTCTCTAATTATAACGTCATGATTTAATAATTTTTTAGTTTTAAAAAGCTTCTCTTCATTTTTCCGGCTAATAAGACTTATCCAGGAAAAATTCCATATAATCAGTTTTTCTGACGTTAGGCCACTTGTTACGCTGTCTCTTTTTGGGCTGTCCCTTTTCTCAAAAAG